ATTTATATTAAGTATGGATTGATCACATTAATAATATACAATTTTTGGTATTACTGTATTTTATATTATCATTCATACAAACTAATGGATTGATCAAATTAATCAGTAATATATAATAACTTTTTGTATCACTGTATCTTATATTATTATTCATATAAACCAATGAATTGATCAAATTAATCAATAATATATAATAATTTTTTGTATCACTGTATCTTATATTATCATTCATATAAACTAATCATTCAAATCAATTCACTATCGATTACATCCTTCAATGCTAAATCAATTTAGTAATAAAATACAGTTCGATAGAAGCTCGAAATAGACATTTTTCCAAAACGTTCTCCGATTGATGATTAATCAATAACTAATTAAAGAACTGTAATTATTCATATATAAACTTTTGTGTCCGCATCATTCATTTACAGTTATGCATCGGCTGTTGCGTTAGAAAGTTTGAAAGTGAAAATTAAATTTCAGCCGAAGCTTTCGCCCGTGAAGGAAGTTTGATTCTACCGAATCATTTAGAAACGTGATCCTCCAGTCTCTTCGAGCATCATAAATGACCCGACCATCCATTCAGACCTGTATGCACGGGAGCAAAATACAATTAGAGTACTCGAGCTGCGTACACCAGTAACGAATTACTCTTTGCCGTACATGCGAAGTTTATTTTACGATAATTATAACGCGCTGCTCAGTTGTTTGCTCCTTTCAATTATACACGATGTTTGCTGTGGGTTCAACAATATTTGTGACGCGTTGTGTGCTTTCGCTATTTTGTTGGATATTGATATTGTGACGAAGGGAAGATATTTTGTAAATAAGTTGTAATTTCAGAAGTGGACTTATTGGTTATAAGTAATTGGCGAGGAAAATTGAGTGGGGGGTAGGTTTACTTCAGCTTTCAGGTTCATTCAAGTTTATTTGAATTTAGTTGGGTGAATTTAGTAAGAGCTGTTATATGATACATTTATATGATACATGTGTTTGATAGTGTATGAATATGTATTCTGATATTTGCACAAGTTTATGTTTCAAAATGGTAGGTTAGGATGTTAAGTGAATACAGAAATTAATGAGTACGAATGTTACAGAGTTTTGAATATTAACAATTCAAAAATTATAGTGCTTGAATATTACAGAGTTTCAATATTGAAAATTGAAAAATGAAGGAGGCCCAGCATTATAGAATTTGAATATTAAAAATTCAGGAATTACTGAGGTCGAATATTACAGGCTTTAAACTTGAAAAATTCAGAAATTATTCAGTTTGAAGATTACATAGTTTAAATATTAAAAATTCGCAAATTAATGAGTTCCAATATTATAGAGTTTTTGTATTACCAATTCACAAATTATTGAGCTTGAATATTACAAAGCTTGAATATTAAAAATTCAGAAATTGCTGGGGTCGAATATTACAAGCTTTAAACATAAAAAATTCAGAAGTTATTTAATTTGAAGATTACATAATTCAAGTATTAAAAATTCACAAATTAATCAGTTCCAGTATTACAGAGTTTTAGTATTGAAAATTCAGAAATAAATGAGCTTGAATATTACAAAGTTTCAATATTAAAAATTCAGAAATAACTGAGGTCCAATATTACACAGTTTCAGTATTAAATTCAGAAATCTCTGAGGTTGGATATTACAAAGATTGAACGTGAAAAATTTCTGAATTATTAACTTTGAATATTACAGACTTCCACCATAAAAACAATAAAAAATTATTGAATTCAACCATCATAAAATTTGCTCACCAAAAATTCAAAAATTATTCAATTCAAACCTCATAAAATTTGCTCACCAAAAATTCGGAAATGACTGTGAGTTCAAACATAAAATCATAATCACATAATATTTTATAATATCTATAACAAAGTATTTCTTGTATTATCTTGTACTACTAATATCTCACAATAAATTACAAGAAAATTACTAGAAAACATATTATCCTACTCGAGTTCAGAAATTCTTCTAAAATCCTAGAAACAATGCAAATTCCAATTAATTCACCTTCGACCTAGCTTCGTGATGGCGATAGTTGTTGAACTGTTTGTCGAGGCATCGAAATCAGGTTTTCGCGCAGCCCGTTTTTCCCCCGAATTGATGGTAGACCGCGGCCATTAATTAATGGTCAGGATTAATTGTCATTTGTCCGGAAACCCAGCTCCGAATCACACGCAAAACAGCGTGCGGTTCAGGATGCAGTTCGCATTGTGGACCACCTTAAATTTTGCATTGTCTCCGTTCGCGTGTGTGTTTGTGTGTGGTCACCTGAGGTAATTGGTGTAGGGTGGAAAAACTTTTCGCGGAGGAAACGTCCGAAACGCTTTTAATTGTAGTTTCGTGCAACGTGAGCGGGAAAGTACAGTGGCGAAATTAATTATGAAACGATACCGTAGCCAAGTCCGTGGTCAGGAGCAGTTTCCGGTGTTGCGACATTTTATGACCCTGCACGGACAACAATTTACTTTATTAATTACCGTGCCACGTAAGATCGTCAACGGGGGAAATAAATTTTCTATGAATCTTGCTGTGCGAGTGGTGTTTCAGGTTGAGGAAAAGATTGCCTCTGGCGTTTTTGTCTTTAAAGGGAATACGTAGGTCTAACAGTGATTTTTCATGTATTCAATCTTGGGATATTAATTAATAATATAGACACTTTTAATTGGGTTAGTAGATCATTAAATAGGTTTTAGTTAATTAAACTAATCAAATACTTTATTAATTACCGCAATAACCCAACATGATTGTTATATTGAATGGGACCTGGAGAGTTTTGGAACCTTTAGAATTTGAGAAAATGGAATTTTGGAAATTTAGCAATTTGGAACTTAGGGAATTTAGAATCTAGGGAATTTGAGCGTAGGAAATTTGGAACATGGGAAATTTGAAATCTAGGGAATTTGAAATTTAGCAATTTGAAACTTAGGGAATTTGGAGCCTTGGAAATTTAGAATCCAGGGAATTTGGGATCGTGGAAATTTGAAATCTAGGGAATTTCAAATTTAGAGAATTTGAGCGTAGAAAATTTTGAATCTGGGAAATTTTGGATCTAGGGAATTTGAGACCATGGGAATTTGAAATCTAGGGAATTTGAGATTATAAGAATTTGGAATCTAAGGAATTTTGGGAATGGGAAATTTGGAATCTAGGGAGTTTGTAAGTATGACAATTTGGAATCCAGGGAATTTGAAATCTAGCGAATTTGTAATCTAGAAATTAAACTAATGTTTAGATTGTTATGTTGAAATTGTTTAAGGTGCGATTTTATTAATTTTATTTTTATAATTTGATGGAAAAAATTTTAATGTTATATTGTGGGAAAATATATTATAGTAAATGAAAATAAAATATTTTTAAACGTGTTCAAACAAAGAAATTATTTTCAAATTACAGAATAACACAAAAATGTAGGTAACTTAAACAATAACTTTTAATAAATTCAGTGAACTTTAAAACTGACGTAAAAATTGTACAAATTATGATTTCATTAATTGTATTTACTAATTTGATTGAATAAAATTTGGGTATCATGTTAATGAAAATTGTAATATTTCTGTAGAAATTATAAAGCAGAGGTTGCAGTTTGAAATGGGAACAGAGTATGCACAGTAGGATGCATATAATTAAATTAAAATAATATTAATAAATTGGAATTGTTCTGTTATACGGCGTGGTATTATTAAATTATTTACATGACTTCATTTAATTTACGAAGTCAGAGCGGGTATGTTGGAATTAATGAAATATTCCTATAACGATACTGAACATCTTTTCGTCGTTATTTGATGAATACATTATGTATTGTTATAATATAATATAATTATAAATTGTAAATAATATTTTATTTAATGGCAATGTTTAACGATAAATACAAAATCGAATAAATGCAATATTTTATTTGGCGAATAAAATAAAATATTATAACATTTAATAGAATATTAAATATATAGGGTGTTACCTTTAACGAGTAGCGTTACAGGTATTATCCCGTATACGTATTTATGCATTCAAATAAATCTAAATTTTCTTTATAATTCAACAAATTATTGCTATAAAAATTGAAGTGTATATACAAAATACGTGACTCCAAATTCTGTGTTCTTCACCCACAATTAAAACTCCTTTCATCACCCAAATTTTGAGCTCCTAAATTTTTGAAAATTGAATATCATGAACTATGATTGGAAAGGAAGTTTCGCTTTAGGTCACCAAATCTTGCCCGCTTAGTTAGAAGAGAAGTGGAAAAAGGTCAAGTACCAAGGGAAATGCAAATATAAAATCTCTCAGTTGTGAAAACAGAAACCCATTGAAAAGAATTGTTTGAACGCGTTCGTTTCGAGTAATCCTCTTGTGAATAGTTTAAGGGTGTATTAAAACCTACGCTGTTTCAACAATTTTCTTACAATTTATAAATTGCACGACGGAACTAATTAACAAGTTCCACTTTGCATACGACTACATAAAAAGAAGCCTAGCTAGAATTTAGGAACAATTCTAAGGGTGACTTTCCTTACTGAAAAAATCTTAATTTATTTAAAACAAATGGGAATAATTATTACTCGCTCAAATTCCTTATTATAAACTGATCTTATTTTTGTTAAGCTTATTAGAAAGTACTTTTCACTGTAATAAAATTTGTAAATAAAAGGACAATTGTCATATTAAATTTGTAAGACATATGTATTATATAAAATTATAAAAAAGTAGTAAAAAGTTAATTTTTATCAGAAATTGTTATAATGAATTTTTCTGTGAGCAATACTTTAGTTAACAGAGAATTTAGTGCTCTTCTGTACATCAATTCACAATATTCTTTAAAAATAAAGAAATTCGCCTAACAAAATTGAGCCCATAAAATTGAAAACTTCTACTGTTATCGCTGCAAGCAGCGTTTATAACACTTGACTTTCAATAAAATCCATAAAGACTTGACTTTTAATGAAGTTTACAACATAACAAAATATTTGGTGTTTATTTTACAGGTGTCCTGGATGCGTAAAAGGGACATGCATATCCTGAGCGCCGGGACTTTGATGTACACGTCGGATCTGAGGTTCCAGGTGAACCATCCCCAGAAGTCCGAAAACTGGACACTGCAGATCAAATCTCCTCAACAACGAGATTCCGGGGTTTACGAGTGCCAGGTCAGCACGGAGCCGAAGATGTCGTTGAACTACAGCCTCAACGTGATCGGTGAGTGCATTCTGCATTATTCACACGGCCATATAACGCCATGTGGCTTTCATTTTCTTACTAAACCTTACCTAAGGTTTGGGTAACACTTTCTACTGGCAAAATTGTCGGCTCCATATTTATGTACTATAGGTTGCAACTTTGTTCTTTTATGTTATGTTTACATTAGACAATCTTTCTGGTTCAAGATTTGATCTTGATATGTGAGATGGAAATATATAAGGAGTGGAAATTTTGGGATTTGTGGATCTTGAGATACAGTGATGTAGTGAATGAAGATTCAGGGATTTGGGGAAGGTGAGGTGTGGTGATGTAAGAAATTGAAATATTGAGATTTGGGGATCTTGGGATGTGGTGACGTAGGGAGTGGCAATCTAGGGATTTGGGGATCATTAGATATGGTAATGTAGGGGTATGGAAATTAAGGAACTTCGCAATCTATAAATTTGGGGATGAAGGATATGGAATTATAGAAGTTTGAGCATCTAGAGATTTGAAAGTTCAGAAATTTGGAAACATAGCTGTTTGACGATTTAAGAATTTGGAAGCATAGGGATTTGGGAAAATTATAAATTTGGAGATTTGCAGAATTAGATATTTTGGAATTTGGAAAATTTAGAAATTGAAAGATTCACAAATTTGGCAACTTGAAAATTTCAAAACATAGAGATTCTAAATCCACAAAATTTACAAATGTAACCATTTAAAAATCTGGTAACCTGCGAACTAAAATCTACAAATTTTAATATTTTACAATTTGAGATCTATAAAATATAGAAATTTGAAAGTTTCTATGCAGAGAAATGCAAGAACCGTGAATGATGAATTGAACAAAATTTAATCAAAGATTGTCTAATGCAAACGTGGTTTCCGTTGTGGTTACGGTATCGTTTTTGTGCATCTGACGCCCGACAATCTCGGAATAAAACACGAAGCCGCGAACAAGATACTTTGATAGCGGTTACTGAAATTAAGGCAAGCTATAAACAGGCGAACTTCAATATTGGCATAACTGCCAGGGCGAGAACTTAATCTTCTCAGTTCAATAACTTTGCAACTTGCAACCGAATTCTCGTAAACTTTCGACGTTCTCTTGCGAAATTGAAGGCAACGCTTGTAGCAAATTATGTCCACCTTTCCGCTCAGCGTTGTTAGAACGCGGGTCTTGAAATTACAATGAGAATTTCTGAAATTGCAATTATTCTTTCCGACCGAGAGTTCAAAATAACCATTTCAAGGCTATTTCCGCTATGCAAATTGAAATACTTTTCTTAACAGTCTCAGAAATTGTGCCTGCAATCTGAAGTTGGAAAAAGTTGACTAATAAGGAGTTTTCTTACGATAATTTGTAAATTTGAAAACATATTAATACATTTGCTGCTTTTACGTAGTATTGTGTTGCAGCACAGCAAGTGATATTTTACCAACTCAAGCTATGACGCACTCAAACTACATATGACGCACTCAAGCTACATACGACACACTCAAACTACATATGACGCACTCAAGATACATATGACGCACTCAAGATACATATGACGCACTCAAGACACATACGACGCACTCAAGACACATACGACGCACTTAAGACACATACGACGCACTTAAGACACATACGACGCACTTAAGACACATATGACGCACTTAAGATACATATGACGCACTCAAGCTAACTATGACGCACTCAAGCTAACTATGACGCACTCAAGCTACATACGACGTATTCAAACTACATATGACGTACTCAAGCTACATATGATGCACTGAAGCTACACGTGACGCAATCAACCCACATCTGCACGCTTGAAACTTGCCAAATCTTACTTGAATTTTGAATACGCTTCAATTTGTAGTTTAAGTCCATTTATAATTTGCATGGTCAAGGATTGCCGAATACAAAATTGATATAACACTTCAACTTTTCTTCCCTGTTTTAATAGCGTAGCTGTGATCAGTTAGTTCCAAAGCACCTGATAAATCATCAGGCAAAGGGTTAAGAACTAAGTGTATGAGCGTCACAGCGTCAGCAATATTAAGTGACGATTAAACGACGAATCATTAGGATACGAGTGAATATAAGTGGACTCTATGAATTTCACTTTGAACGACTAGTTTATTTTGCAACGTACTTGATCACTGTTTGTTCGAGAGTGTCTTCGAAGAATTTTTACGTTTACAAAAGCTCGGAGTGGCTGTAGAATTTTTGTGGCATTGCCGAAGGAAAACAGTTTCTAATTTTCTATCGGTTTAGCTAAAATTGGGGCGGAGGTGGAAATATGAGCGACGTATGAAGTGTGTCTGAGTTTACTTGCAGTGACCTAAGCAAGTAATAAAAGCGTCAGTACCTTGACACGAATAGTTCACTGCAAGCGAAACACTCTAGTGCTAAGGTTAAGGGTTCCAGATGTGACTAACAGTAAAAAAATACTCGCTAGAGTGAAATGACTGAGGTCTTATCACTGTTGTTGTTAAAGACTGATTTGAAACTACAAATGAAGCAACTAACTGTCAAAGTATCGCTAGAAACGTACTGAATCCTAATGGGGTCTAATGAGGTCTAACTGATTAGGTCCAATTGAACCTAGTTTGACAAATAATTGAAAAATGATAAATAATTTCTATGATTTTAATTTGAGAAATATTAAAATGAATGTAAAATTACTTCTTATTAAATATTAGAATTCTCCGTATTCAGAACCATCTCCGGCTTAGGTGAAATGTTAGTTTGCTCCAACATTTGTCTATTTCACGGATATCATTTGGTTTGTCACTTTCGGACCACAGTTTGCGACACGAGCGTGACTCGTTGTTATAAGCTAGAGAACCCTTCGGGCCAACTTGGAAATCGTGTTCTGTAATTCGTGATAATTGCCCTAAGACACGATATTACCGCGTTTCACTTATCTTAGCGTGTGTCTAATCTGCGAAAGACATACCAGTCTTGTCGCCATGTTCTGTCAAAGTTTTAGACAGGAAGTACAAGTTATTTCAAACCAGAAAAATTAAGTAATTAGTTGGCTCTTTTTAATAACTGTTCTATGTTTCTTGTATTTTCTCGCTTTTGGGTTATGTAATCTTCTCATTAAACGTTATTATATAATATTAAATTTGTCAAGTTCAAAAACTGCAACTATTTAAAATAGTTAATAACCCAAGAACCCAAGTCAACTTATTCCTTTTCTTATTTAATCAATTTTTATATTAAAATAGTTACATTCTGTACGTAGACCGTTACACTTACAAAAAGTTTAAATAGTAAAAGTATAGAACATCTTATGCCATTTAACTTTTTCTTTCATAAGTTTCTATCCCCAGCCACTTTAAACGTGTAGCTTGTTCCAGTTACTTGAAACGTTACAGTAATTTTCAGGAAACTTTTGCCTTTAAGTAGGTATCATAAGTTCTATTCGAAATTAATTTTATATCAACCCTACATATGAATGTATTTTATTATAATACATTATGTATAGAACTAATGATATATCTGAAAGTATGCAGATATACAAATATACAAGTATTTGCATAATTTTATCAATATTTTCAATGTTCTTTTCATATTATAAAATGTAAACTGTACAGAAAAATTCATCAGATAATGTTTGTGGGATGTACAGGGATATGTTTGATTACTTTTATTCATTTGAGCCAGTGACATTGAAGAGTCAAGCGAAGACTGAAATTCTATAAGTGGAGCATGCTATGTTATTTGAATATTCTCCCTAATAACAATATGAAATAACAAAATATTTACAATTTATAAATCCGTCAGATGATATGCATAAGTCAGTACAAAATCCTTCCCATGAAATTAAATCCCTTTGCCTATTACATCACTTATCCCATTCCCTGAGTACACGACAGTATATGGGACTTTATCCAAGAGTAATCCGTGCGACGCAATGAATACCACGTGCAAAACGAAATCCGTCGTCGAATAACAATAATATCGTCTGTAGACACCTATCTTCTCCAGTTCGATGGCGTTAATCCCCGGCAGATGCATCGGAAATCCGCGTACGCTCGAGGCGCCTCGAAATCCGAGCTTACATCGCTCGCAAAAAGCCGCAATCCGTTGAAAATCGTCTGAGGATAAAAAATAAGGTGGCTGATCCTCCATCGGCGACGTCCACGCAAATTTATTTCCGCGCGATCGAGGAAACTGAAATAAATTTCTGTAGCTCGTCTGCGGGATGTGGAATCGCCGGGACAGGCGTTGACGTCGAAATCTTGCCGAGATAAACGAGCTCTGGCAAGTCATAATTGTAGACACGGACGGGGAGATGAGAACAGACAGGCTCAGCTGGGTTTGGAACATCTTCTGATAACTTGGTAATTCTTACAACATTTCTTTGCTGTATCGTGGTAATTTTTTTATCGATAAATATTTAACCTGCTATACAATTTATGCAGTATGTCGGAAAAGCAATGGAACTTTTTAAATTTAAGGAAAACTAGCGCCATCTATTAAAACAAATGTTATCTGAAAACAGTATTCCTCCCATACAAAACACAGTAATCATTATTGTGATTATTAAACGCAAATATTTAACAATACAAATATTTAAAAATACGCGTCTGAATAAACTATACTGCATGGAATAACAGATGAAACAGAAATACTGGTGGAGAAATAAAAAATATTCTGCCAATACTGTTTAAATTATCACCGGTAGAGGACCAGAAGCTATTAACTAAACTTAAGCACGTTCCTCCCTAAAACAATCTGAATTCACAGACCAGCAAATCTCTCGAGCTTTATCCTGTACGCGTAAAGTTTCGTTCTGCGCTTTTTGCTCGACGGATTTGTAAAATTGATTTCGCCATCGAGTCCATGGTTTACGACTTCGACCGTTCGCTCGACACACCAAAAGAAAGAAGATTTATTTCGCGCCAACTTTTTTCATTGCTGGAGCACGGAACGACAGCCACGTTAGACGTTTTAGAGATTCAAATATAGAAGATGTTGCAAGAAATTGTCGGGGAAGTATTTTTACGGATTT